AAACGTGTTAGTTCAGATTTACTAGGGATCACTACTGGGCATTTAATGCTTTCAGGAAGACTGATGGACCTCTTTAGTCTTCCCCCTACCCTAATAAGGCCATCTTGGTCCACCACAGGATCTAGCCGGGTCAACTTATCAAGTTCCTTATATTGGTTATGCTGAGTAGCTTTTACCATTAGTTTCTTGGCTCTGTCAATGTCCTGAGTTGTGAGATCTCCACTTATTTTCCAACTTCTGCATTTGTATGAGAAAACAATACATAGAGCAAGAACTCTGCTTGCTCGGCTCCAGCTGGAGTATCGCTTTAACATCTCTGGAATCGTTTGTACACTAACATGGGTGGCCTGAACTCTTACCCTCTTTACTTCAACATCTGTATCATGTATTGGTTCTGGTGGATAATCTTCGATTTTGTAAATCAGCTCACTGAGGAACTTAGGCCCTTGCCACCATAGATCACAATCCAACAATTCCTCTACAGAGCTGCCACGTGAGGCGATGTCTGCTGGGTTTTCTTCAGAGGCAATGTAGTGCCACTGGGTTGGCTCGCTGAGATTATGGATAGTTTGTACTCTGTTGGCCACAAAAACATGAAAGCGTCTGGACTCATTGCTTATATAGCCTAGTGCCACCTTACTATCTGACCAAAAGGGCTCAACTAGATTGGGATATTTCAGCTCTTCTCTTAGAATCCTTGCTATCCTTGCAGATACCATGGCTGCCGTTAACTCTAGCCTCGGTATTGTCATTCTTTTTAAGGGTGTTACTCTGCATTTGCTCATGACAAGTGATACTCTTACAGTCCCATCTTCGTGCACTAGTCTTAGGTACGAACACTGACCATATCCTGAAGTGGATGCATCACTAAAGTGGTGAAGTTCAACAGAAGACACCTTTCCAGTTGCATTAGGTGCCTTATAGCATCTACTAATTTTAATGTTGCTGAGGTACCGAAGTTGCTCTTTCCAAGATATCCAATGTTGGATTGTATCGTCATTTAACGGTTCGTCCCAGTCCTTTACTTCTGCGCAGACATTCTGGAGGATTCGCTTCCCCTGTAAAATGTAGGGACCAATTAATCCAAGTGGATCAAACACAGCAGACACAGTCGATAGAATGCCTCTTCTTGTCGGAGGATTCTCTTTCATGTTGCCTTCAAATGTAAATACTGTACGTCGAGAGTAGGGTCCCACAGTATTCCCAAAGTACGTTCTGTGGGTAGATTACTCAAGTCCT